CTTTTTTATAGTATTTATTTTTAGATTATAAAAAAAAAATTTTAGATTACTTATAAACCAAAAATATACAATTTTAAAAGAATTTAACTAACAGTAACTGGCAGTGATTGTCACTATAACACAAAGTAAATAAATTATTTTGCACTCAATCATCAGAGTTTAATTAAACGGTTTATTTATACTATTATTTATGTGGAGTAAGATTAATCAGATAAATTATGTAATTGATATAAAAAATGAAAAAAACATGATTAAAACAATGATCTAGCTTTTTTTTGCTCGTTCTCTTGTCTATTAAATACGATTTGGCTTATTTTCGTTCATCTCTTATTATTAAAGAAGTACAATAAAAAAAGAAAACTTAGTAAATAAAATAAAGAACGATGCAAATATCTAAGTATGGCATTATATAAACCTTCAAATTCAAGGCTTAATGAACAAAGTAATAGAAGGTATATTTATACGTTTACTGTCTGTTTGTAAAAAAAAAAAAACACTGTTGAATATAAAGCAACAAATGAGTCAAATAATATAAATATTTTTTATAAGAAACTCAAAACGACATAGCTTTTGTTGTGTACAATGAATAAGGCCAACGATCTCATATTCGAAACAACTTTATAATGGTTAAAAATTATGTGAATACCGTTTGAGATGATCTTGAGCTTATTGAGGAAAATCACTCAGACAACATTTGTGATAATATAAGTGCTGAGAAAGGCCACATGGATATTATTGAAAATAATGGTTTGTTTATTGAAAATCACCAAGCAGCTGTTCAAGGAAGTTTTGAGAAAGATTATCTACTAGATATTGAGAATTATCAAATAGCCACTCAAGATAGCTTTGGAAGTTTTGAGAAAAATTATCTATTAAATATTAAAGATTGCCCAGATACTACTGATCAATACATTCCCACTACTTCTACAGAAGAAATTACCATTAAAGTGGGTGATTCTTTTTCTTCATAGGAAGAAGCTAAGTTATATCTGGAAAACTATATAAAATCATTAGGATTGTTGATGGAACCGTAGCAGGTTTTTATATTGATAAGATTTTTGTTATTAAAAATGCCCATTTTATAACTAAATATAG